GACTGAAGTGAAGGCAGAGTCTCCTGGGTTTGGGAATGGAACAGGCTTGGGTACAGATTTAGGGGTTCCCCAGGGCTAGCAAATAGTGTTCCCCTATCCCTTAGCCTCAATTTTATGCAGTGAAACTACAACTCCCAGAAAGCAACTGGTGGATAAACCCTTAACCAGGTCTATCCTTGCCCAGTGGCCCCATGAGTATTGTAGTTTCTAAGACCAGGTGACCCAACGAGACAGTAACACTGGAATCTGGGGTTCTGTCTCTCCCCACAGATGAGCCCACACTGGAAAAGGCATCCTGGAGTTTGCTGAAGGAACTGAGACGCATCAAGGACAGTAACGTAACAGGTAAATGCATGGAGGGGGGAGGGGAAAGGGGAAAGGCTCCAGAATCTCTCGGTGAAATGATTGCCGATGATGCCTGGTCAGGTACTGGGCTCTGGAGCCAGACTGCGTAGGTTCAATTCCTGGCTCTGCCGCTTCCTAGCTGTGTGGCTTTGCAGCTTTGCCCCTAAAATGGAGACCATAACAACGCCCTCCTCCCAGTTGTTGCTTAGCCAGTATGTTAAGTGGTCATTCAATTTCACTTTTCCTCCCCGAGAAGGCCAAACAGCAGAATGCCAGGCTCTGCAGACAGAGGCAAACTTCCTGCACCTCACACCTGGAAAGGGAGAGGGATCACTTTGCTTTATCCTGCTTCTTCCCAGGTGAGCTCTTTGTGAAGGAGCTGTTTTGGATGTTGAAACAGCAAAAAGATGTCTTTGCCAGATTCATGGCTCTGTTCTTAAAAGAGAGTGAGTGAATATGGGGAGTCCTGGACCCCAGCCCTCTCCTTCCACCGTCCAGGAGTCCTTGTCCTCAGGCCCTTGCTTCTCCAAGTCTGGCCCCTCAGCTCTCCCAACCCTCCTCCCTCACACTCAGGGGTGCAGGCACACAGGTCCTTCCTCCCTCAAAGCCAGGAACTCCAGCACCAGCCTCTTCCTTTGCCCCCTCTCTCATTCCCTTTAACTTAAAAAAATCTGATTCTCTTTTTTCTCTCTCTCTCTCTCTCTTCCGAGGCAGATTTTTGTCCCAACAAATGTGGTGAGTCTGGATTAAGGGAGGTGGCCCTCTTTCCCTCACCCCTACACGGGTCTCGGTGTTTGCTCCTCGCGTCTGAGAGGTTCCTGGGTCCCCAGGATTCCTTCTGCACCCGGCGCACCCTGGAGAGCGCCGGCGTAGACCCCGGCTTCCCAGGGA